GGAAAGAGACTCTCTTTTCAAGCAAGAAGTAGGTTTATAGTTTGTGTCTAACTTCTGAAGAAAGCCATCAAAGCCATACTTCGTTGCTAAGATGAGCTGACTTTAGAACCCAAAAGATAGGCTGGAAGAACATAAGGCAGTTTGGTTAACAAAGAGGGAGGAAAAAAAAATCTCTTTTAACTCCTCTCTAAAAATAAATCACAAAGTCTCTTTATTCAAGGTGGGTAGCAGAAGCCATGTCAAAGAAATCCAGGAGATTTATGGATGCAGATTTATAGCTTATCAAGTTACTGCCTTTAAGAATGTCCCTTTAATTAATAATGCAACCCAAACCAAAACCCAAAGCATTTGATTAGGTCATCTGGTAAGGAATGGCTCCAGGATCTTGGGCCATAAGATGGGAAAAGGCTTGTGATTTTTGACCATACCTGAAACCTACCTTGCCTTTGTGCATACATTGGCAAGTATCACATGCTGTCAGTCCTTCTTCAGTCCCATGCACCATGAGCCTCCCTACAATAAACTGGTAAAAATACAAACCTTAGCCTTAGATTTGGGGAAGTTGTATGGAAGTCCTACCAGTCACTTATGCATTACACTCCTGGTTTTTATTAGGATCTCACATGGGGAAAGTTTTCATTCTGCCTTCTGTCATTACTCATCCTGAGTACTTGACGTTATTTAATGTTTAAAAATGAAAGATACAAACAAACAAAAAACCTACTGAGCCACAATACAACCCTGCCATAATTTGACTGTGTGCTACTCTGGACACAGCCCTGCAGCCTCATCTCATACCACTCTCATTGACTTTTCCAGGATGTGCAGCAGGGGTCCAAGTGATTTGTACTTGGCTGTGTATTTTCTGTTTTCATTGCCCGGGTATTTTCCCTAATGAATTAATCTTGCTTAACAACCGCATGTACTATATAGCAAAAGGAAAAATGACTATATTCATCATATTAATCACCAAACATGTTAGTCACTTCAGAACTGTTCCCATCTTTTTTTTTTTTTTTTTTTTTTTTTTTGAAGTCCATGATTTTATTGATATTTTAGGTCATACGTGGCCCATGGGATAAAAGAGCATTCAACAGTAGGGAATTTCCATCCTAATGAATTAGCAAATATCTTCCCGTCTCAGCTTGTGTTCAGATTTACAGAGTTACAGAACGTTTTCTTACTTGATGGCTTGCTTGTATTTTGCTAGCCACACACTGTTTAAGGAATTTATACCATACCATGGTGAAAAACAGACCTAGTATGGAGCATGAGCAAGATGAAATGTAAAAGGAACAGAAGTAATTAATAGGATTTGATTAATGAAATGGATTAGTTAATAGGAGAGGATTAAGAGAGTGATGTTTTCTGCATTGGTCAGTAAACTCAGCTTGGGTAGTCAGCTTGGACTGCTGCAAGAAGTCCTGTTTTTTGAGACAACGCAGGAACATTTAATCCAACACTTTAGTTCATGTGTTTTGTTTTTCCTCCTCTCTACTGTTCTGTCTCCTGCAAGTCAAAACAAAGAGTGCTTTTATAGAAGTGCTTTATAAGACTTCTGCAGTTATACAGATGTATTTGTAGCTGCATGGTCTTCCTATTCTGGGATCTAGCCCAATTTATGATAGATCTAGTTTGCATATCATGATGAGTTGTGTTTGCTGCCAAAAGCTTTCAGTCTACTGAATGTGAAGATACAGATTTTAAAGGGAGAAAATTTCCTTAGAGGTCAGTACTGATAGTCCAGATCACTTGCAACGAAAAAGAGATCTATAAAAGCTATTAAAATTCTTTCAGTCAGGATAATTAAGAGAAGGTCATTTTTCATTTAAGAAGTTCCCGGTATGTATTTAAATGACAAGAGATCATAATAAATACTAAACATTTGGAGACTGATTTTAATCTCCCACCTGTGCAATTTGGCAGTCATTCTATCACAACTGACAGGATTTGGTCTTAAGTCTTTCCTTAGTTCTACCGCACTGTTATTTGCTAAAGTTACAAGAAGTTAAATGTGATATAAGAATGAGTTGGGTTTCCTACTGGTAAAGCCAGTCCTTCCTAGTTTATGGCAATCAGTTGGCTCTAGGGAGTCAATTTTGTATTTCATTGCTAGTAATAGCCATAACTTTTTTTTTTAAAAAAAGTATATGCAAACAAAAATTTTGAGCTAGTCTTTAGAAATTTCTACTGGCTTGTCTGTAAGCCTTGGGAATTCTCCAATGTACAGTTTTTGTACCGGACCTGCTTTTTTCAGTCTTTCCTATTTTGCAAATAGATTCTTGCTAGACTTGAGTTAGGTATGAATGGAAAGACCATGAGCACTTCTGTTCCAAATTGTGATTTTTCTCAGTGGTCAGTTCAATTACTCCATTTTTCTAGTAAGTAGTTTTAACTAATATATCAAAATGTTTGGATATCAAGATGATTATTCTATTGAATCATTTTAAGATAATACTGCTAATACCTTTTTTGCTGTGTAAAGGTCCATATCTCTGATAAAAGTAAATAACAAGTATTTTTTCCCTGTTTTTCTTCCTCATTCTTTTCTTTCAAAATCTGCATTGTACATGCAGAGATAATGTTTTTGATGGTAGATAATATTTCATGCATCATTGTGCCTAGTACTTGTTTGAAGTCCCAAACTTTATGAATCTTAGATGACTTGAAAGTGATAATCAGCATTTTCAGCCTTTCTAAACTGTTTGAGTGCAGGACAATGAAAGAAGATATGTATGCATGTGTATATAAATACACAGATATATGTTACTGTACTATACCTAATGAAGCTTAAAAGCTGGTGTATAATAGTATCTAACAGAAATCCTCTTCTCAGACATTTGCTGTGTGGAGGTTGGATGAACAGTAGTTAGCTTTTTCCTCAGGAGAATGTCAGATGGAAGTATTTTAAAGTGTTTGCAGCTGGTGATGTCATAAAATTGATAAAGGTCCTATCATGTCAAGTTTGAATCAAGCAGGGGCTTTCTGTGCACTTTACTTCCATTTTTGCTTTAACATCATAAAATACCTTATTTCTGTAACATATTAAAGGCTCTGCGTCTGCAAGGAAAAAAAAAATAAAAGAATGACTGGTTAGAATCTGTCTGGAGAGACTTTTGTTTCAGTACCTATGCAATAAAAACAGTTAACCCTTTAAAGATTAATGGAGCAGTGTAATGAAACCTATGCGAAGTCATAGGCTATATTTTACCCTTAGGATGTGAATGCCTAAAGAAGTTCCTGTAAGAGCATGAACGTATAGCTTATCAGTAGCTCTGCTATGTGCATGCTGCTGGAGAGCAGTAACTCGCCCTCTTTCATTGAGCTGAAACTGCCTTTACTCCTATGAAGTAACAAAACGTAGCTCTTGCAATCCATCTGGCAGCTGAAAAATTCAAAATGGTTTGCATAACTACAATAACTACGTATAACAAATGGAGAAAAAAGGTCGTCATGTATTGAATTGATTAGCCTAGCCAGGAGAGTGGTGGAGGCAAGCCCAGGGCCTTTGGGCTTAATGAACGGCTCAAGTTTTTGGAGCGGTATTTTTTTGTTTGTTGTTTTGTAGTGATCATTTTGGGTATGAACCACCTAAGGATCATGAGACTCCGGTCTTCCATGACTGTGAATCCTTAAATAACACTGTAATTCATATATTTTCTAGTTTTCTGGTGCTCTAATGTGACTTCTTTCTCTTCTCTCCCCCTCCTTTTCTTCTAGTCAAAGCAGCCCAGGTAAAGGGATCCCTCTCGGAAACTTCAATCCTTCCATGCTTCTTTTCAACTACACCCACTATTGCCTCCAGCTACGCGCCTGAATATCTTCGAATCAAATGGTCAAAGGTTGAACTGGATAAAAATGGAAAAGATGCAAGAGAAACCACAGTCCTGGTTGCCCAAAATGGAAACATCAAAATAGGCCAAAACTACAAAGACAGAGTGTCTGTTCCGACCCATTCAGAGGAGACGGGCGATGCTTCACTGACTTTCTCTAAGCTGCGCGCCAGCGATGCAGGCGTGTACCGCTGCGATGTCATGTACGGGGTTGAGGACACACAAGGCATTGTATCATTGGCTGTGGATGGTAAGGATTTCCTTATTTATTATCAGCAGCGATTGCACTAAAAAGTAGGAATTGTGATACAACTAGAGGACAGTTAAAGCAGTGTCTTTAGCAAATTGTTCTTCTTAAATTGTTGACTCTTCCAGTTCTCTTCTTTTCCTTTGTTTATTCTCAGGAATCTTTTTCAGTCTATAGTTCCCCATTTCACCATTTGTCATATTTTTGAAGTTACTCCTAATGATATTTGTTTGTTCCTGAAGTAGTTTGATATTTTGCTCATATTCTTTGCAAGATGAGCTCCTGCTTTTACAGTCTTTTTTTTTTAGGATAAATCTCTGTTCTCCAACACCAACTCTTTTGAGCCGTGGTGCACCGTATAATAATATATGTCTCAAAATTACTTTACAAGTGTCTTTACAAGAAGATAAACTCGGCAAGCAGAAACAATTTCCTTTTTATGTAGGATGAGAAGAAGCAATTGTCTTGCCACTGGAGCTCTAGTTGGCCTTGCTTGCCACTGGCTGTGCAAAAAATAATGCAGACTATACTGGGAATCACTGTGGTATGAACATCAGTCACAAAGCAGGAATTTCCTTTGACATGATAAGAAAGACTGGGCAATTAGGAGTTTTGCTTTTCTAGCAGAAAAGCAAAAAAGAAGATAACTGCTAATCTTCTCATTCATGGAAGATCCAGAGCTGAGGCTTGGCTTTTGAGTACTCAAGGAAATAGCATCCAAAACTTTGAGGAGAAGTGTAACGATATGTAACAAACAGGACCTTAAAAAGTGCATAAGTGCCGAAAGAAGCACCTGATCTCTATGTGCTTTAGCTCTAGGAGCATACTTAAACAGCACAGTGAGTACAGGGTGAGAGAGACTGCTGCAGGGGGTGTGTGTGTGTGTGTACTGGAGCAGGCTATACTTGCATGAACATTAGCTTGGACTCTTTGCTTAGCACTCCTTTTACATTTAGGTGTTTTTCTGAAGGTTTCTTGAGTATTTATTCCAAGGACTGAATCCCAAAGCGAACATTAATATTGACTGCTGGAAATCATGGCTTTGGCTAAGATTTTTCATAGGCTTAATACTTCATTGTTCTTCCAATATGCTTAATGCAACTTTAGCAGTTGTTTGGCAATGATTCAATGAAAGGTTTTAGAGGTGTGGTCTTAATTTGGAAATACAATAAATCAGTATAACTATTAATGTCTGTATAACTTCACAGGCTGTGTACTCTGACTGGCAAAGGCAGAAGAAATGCTGGTTTGAACATTATTTTTCAGTAACTAATGTACCTAGCATTCCTTATTCCTTTTAAATTGCTCCCTTGACTATATATCTATATCCAGAAGCAGCAGACATTTACTGCAATAGAATGTCTGATTTATGCCATTACTTCAGCTTGTATAGCTGGTGCTGCTGCAAAACACTGTGTGACATGCAGAGTTCAGATTTTCTTTTTTTTTAATTTAGAAAGTTTCACACGGCTTTCTGCCAGTGCTGTTAGTGATTGCTCTAATGTCAGAATTTGGGAAAGGGAAAAGACTAGATCTTGATCTAAGTGGAAAATAGCATTATTAAATTCTCAATTGTTCCCTCAGTATTTTACCTTTTCTATTAAGTAAATAAATGTCATTTATCAGGCTTGAGGGGCAACAATTTTATTCCATTAGATTGCTGGCTTGTCTGTAATTTGAGCTTTTATTTACAAAAAAAAAAAAAAAAGTCCCAAATAAAATTAGTTTTCAACGTATTGTCTTTTTGAGACTTCAGCCTAAAGCAGTAACAACTGCCTAAGGAGAAATACAATCTTTGGTGCTTATTCTGTTCTTGTTCTTCATTGACTGTCATTGCCATGGTACTGGAGAATGTTTTTTTCAGAGCGAAGGTGTTAACTGCAAAGCTGGCAGCTAAGACCATTCAGCACTGTGTTTTGGTCAGCTCTTCTAAGCTAAGTGCAACTGATAGGAGTGCTTGTGAAGGAACCCTAGGAAGACCTGGCAAGAGCATTACCAGTTTTGCTAATGCAAGAGATCAGAAACACGGTTTCATTACTCCAGTATAACAAGTGCCAAGTTTTAGATGAAGTGTAGTAGCTGAACATGTGCAAACTTTAAGCTCCTAACAAATGAAGAGAAAAATGCATTCTTGAAGCATGCTTTCTGTGAGGACTGAACGGGCATGTTTTAACCTTTTGAAGTGGATTTTAAGTGGTTATTGTGGGTCAACTGATGCTGCAGTAACTCGATGGTTGTCCTGAGCCTAAAGCAAAGCAGAATCCTTTTATTTAAGGTAGGAAGCTTTTGCCAAATTCCCCTGCTTGAGGGTAATTTGGATGTAGAAGGAAATTTTGCTGATATTTCAGAAAGCGATGTACTACTTCCTTACTCAGAATGAGTATTATATCTTTCAGAGAAGATTTTGTAAAGGACTTTGAGATCCTTCTGGTAAAAGGAAGTATGCATGTTGTGGTCAAAATCACTGTAACCATTATTTGCTGCTGTTTTTTTTAAGTTTGCTGCTGTTTCCAAGTTGAGCTTTACAGGGTGAATAACTGATATTAGATATTGAGAATAAATAGTGAAACACTTAAGGGATGATTTGTTCAAGCATCCTTGTTGTCTTTCTGTATTGCATATTTCTACTAAGTCCTTTTTGACAAATGAAAATCTATATAAAGAGCAGTCAGCTCTTTGAGATTTTTGGGAACTTCACTATAATTCTGAGCTTTTTCTCTTTGCTTTAGTTATGTATACAGTTTATTCCTGATATACAGGTGGCCAGCAGCTGCTTACATTAGTTCTGTCTGTTAGGTGTTAGCATGCATCGTTAAGATGTTGTGGTTTAACATGTCATCTTCTATCACCTGGGCAGTGCTTATGAGTGCATTATTAGCCCATGATGGATGTGAATTAGTTTAGCTTTTAGTTTTAAAGTTGATCCCTCTTAAGGTTATGTCTGAACACTAGGGTTATGAGAGCTGATGTGGGGCTGGGCTAACTCAGTCTTGTACCCTGCCCTGAGGATCTGATCCAAGGGAGGTCTCCTGTGTAGGACTACAAGGACATCACGAGTCACATGAGTTAGTTGCTTTGTTTTTTGCTCTGGGTTATGTGCCTTCGTAGGTCTGCCTTCCTCCCAAATCGAGTGGGAAGATGGTCCAGTAGCGACAGTAATCAGGCATTTTGTACAGTTCGCCGCAGATCAGTGAGGTTAATTGAGCTGTACCTGCCATGCAGATTATCGTGTTTATTTGGCAGCTGGTGCAGGTGTAGCGGAGAAATGTGCTACACTTAATTTTAGTCCACACAGAAAGTTTCAGGGTGGCCAGATGTCCTTGCTAGTTAGCTGTGACCGCAGGATTGTCCCTGAGGCAGGGAATGAGCCAGTGCTGACGGGTCTATGCTTGCTGCAGAAGGGTGGTTTCATCTCACAGGGCACCTCCTTTCCTGTTACTAATTGTGAGGAATACTTTCCATATACCCTGGTTGCAATTAGAATTCTAATTCCTCAGGCAGAAAAATTTTATGCTCAAGTAAAGCTAATAGTCTTACAGCATTATATGCTTGGACCTCTTAGAAAAAGTGGAATATGCAAAATGTCATTCATATGTATTTTTTCTTTTGAGGTGTTATCTTATCTGTCTTCTCTATGCTTTGTTCTATTTGACATCTTCCCCTTTTCTCAGGAACTACCCTTTCTTTGCCAGCTGTTGTAATTTTATCTTTCTACAGCATTTTCAGTTTTTCTTCTGGACCCTTCTATTATCACTTTTATTAAATCCACGGCTCAAACCATCTTTCAGTAGGAAACCTCAGTCTCTTGATTTTTGAATGCTTGGAGTTATTTTTTCTTCAGTCTTAATTGTTTTCTTCGCGCTATTACCTAAAAACATCAAGCCATGCCAGAGCCCTCAGATCTCTAAGCAGGATGTCTTTCCCTTCTCTTTAGCTACCAGTGGTGGAGGCAAATGTATATGCCTCTTCCTTCCCATTTCATGGGGCTTTCCCTTTTTGCAGGTCTTTGGATTTTTGCCTTTGTGCCAGTAGAGGCATAGGGATACCACAGAGAGGTTGGCTACCAGCAGGTGATGCCTTCTGAAGGGCATCTCTGAGTATTCAGCTGCCTGCTAATAGTTCACCAAATGCAATTTCATGATGTTGAATTTATGACGTATGACTCCAGTTTTGAAATTAAGAGCTAAAACCAGGTTGGGATTTATTTTAACTCCAACTATTAAAAAATGAGATGGGGGAGAGGCGGAACAATCCAACTAATCTGTTCAACTTGTAGGCTATTGCCCCAGTCAACTCCTCTTTGGTGAGCGTCTTGGGTGAGCTCAACTCCAGCAGTCTATATCCCCCTCCCTTGATTAGAGACTTAGAGGACTAACTTATCTTAGTAGTCTAAGCTAAAACTTCAGTTTGCTACAACTTTACTAGGCAAGCAAACCTAGGTGAACTGACTCCCCCAAAGATTTTAGAAGGAAGCACTGCTATATCTCTCTGTGTCCCTGTTTGTTTTCTCATGATAGATATAATAAAACTGACTTTTATAGAATAGTTTTAAGGCTCCTTAGCAAAAATCTGACCTAAGAGTGCCAAGTAGCAGCTCTCTTCATTCTGGAACATGATTGGATATTTAGTGAGTTTCTCGTTTTGTGTTCTGCTATGGTGTTGGGCAGTAAAAAGATAACATCTGCCCATGTCTAATCCAAAAGAAAAATCTGAATAAATCACTTATTTGAGAGGATTTTTGATAACTGTCCTGAAAATGCCTGCAGATTAGTGCTATCTTTTTCTCACTGATATCTTGTGAGACTGCTTCTTTCGTAGGCCTGTTGTTTTTATGTGATTTTGCTGTAATTCTGAGAGACTTTGTAGAAATCAGGTAAAAAAAGAGAAAGCCATTAAGGAAAATCCTAGGTTTACAATACTGATTTAGTTAAGGGGAAGAAGCAGCAATTAGAGAAGCAGACTTAGATGGTAATTCACATTTTCATTTTTATGCACACTCTTTT